TGTATTGTCTGCACTGTATTAGCAGTATATACTCCATATAATAAATCCCCCCCAAATCTCCCCTCACTTACTGTGATTCACTTACTCGAGTATATACGGTATATTATTATTATTTTTTATTATTATTATTATATATTCTAATCAGCATTAAAATACAGTCTCTCCTATTGCTTCTATGTATCCCTCCATCTGAGGCCTACAAGCTAGCAAGGAAAATAAAAAATAGACCCAATGTAGAAAGGGTGGGAGAAAAGCCCATGGAAGGAACCTCTGCCAAATATTAATGTGAAAGGTAGAAGGATTATGTAACATTTTAACCCCCCAAAGATGAAAAAACCTTTGCATTTTGAAAGCTATGTCATTCGATGATAAACAGGAACGTATAAGTGCTTTTCCCCCACGGGCTTTGGATTCTGTAGTGCCAGAAGTGGAAGACTGTATCCCCCTGGGTGTGTGCATGAAACTGGTAGAATATTCATGATGGAACTGTTGCTTTGTTCACTTGGTGCTTTCTAGCTGGGAATCCCTTTCTGAATCCTAATAGATACTGCTGCAACCACAGCTAATTCTGTATCATTCCTATATTACAAACACTGCTATATGATTGATGTTGATGGTATTTGCAAGAAGAAGCAGTAACTTGCTATCACTATTGATGATGAGGCTAATCCTAAGCTACCACTGCTGATACTACTACTACTATTACATCTACTACCATCACTGCTACTCCCAGCAATAAAATGCCACTATCACAGTTAAAGCTAAACTCAAGGCAGAACAACAAAAAAAGAAGAAAATAGTGTAGTTCTTTAACAATAAATCCCTCACTTATTTTTTAAATGCAAGCAGATTTTGCATCTGTATCTGCCTCTGGCAGTCCTTGTGTGGCGGAGCTCAGACTGAGGGAGGGCTAAGCAGCTCAAGGAGCCAATCACTTGTGATTGAGTGGATGCAGCATGCTGATAGCACACAGTGAAAGAGAGGTGAACTCATTAGTCTGCTGCTTCTCCTTTCACTGTTCAGTCACAGGCATGGGGATGGAACTGAAGAAGGTTGCTGCCCTACCAGGCAGGGCTGTGCTCTGTGGTAGAGTCATGTAAATCTCAGGACTGGGTGTGCAGAGTAAAAATCCTTTCACTGGTAAAACAGTTACCACATATGTATTTTATGTGTGTATTTAACTCCCTGGCGTTCAGCTGTAGTACTACTATGACAAACACTAAAAATGCTATTACTGGCAATAGTAATAACTCTAAAAACAACATTATTAATATTATTGACTAATGCTATTGTTACATTGACAACAGTAATTAAAACAACTGATAGCTGAAGAGATGGCCTACTTCACTAAGTCTAATATGTCTCCATTTAGTTATGTCCATTGGAACAAATGTAAACTCACCTAATACATCTGTAAAATGAGTATGACCGCTCCTTATCACACTTTTAATATTAGCGTAAATTTGCAGAATCTAGACTCAAACAAAGATGCCACTCTGGATAATTTTTTTTTAAAGGGCTGCTAGCCATACAGCGTTGTGACCAGTATAGATAATATAGGTCCTCGTAGCGACCGCCACGGATGGTGCTGTACAGAACCTCAGATAGGTCACCAGAAAATTACTGTGTCACCTTGAGGAAGGGACCCTGCGCGGCCCCGAAAATGTTGCCTGTTTTGAGCTGTGTGACTTTATTTGCATTAAACTCTATTTTCTTTGCATTCTGGAGTGCTGGTGACCTAACTTCACGCCTTTCTGGTTCAGTTACTGATGTTTACAAAAACTGAAAAAGGTAAGGAAAGGCTGTTTTAATGCCTGGAGAACCTTTTTTTTATTAAAGGAGAACTATGAGGTGAGTGATTTTCACTCAACCTCATACTTAGAGCCGACGTGTGACAGTAAAACTGTCACATGTCAACTCAATAGATCGGGAAGTGAGCAAACACATACCGTCGCTCGCTCACTTCTTGATCATGTCCCTGCAGAGAGCTGTAACTGTCACTCACGGCTCCCTGCAGGGATTCCCTCCTTCCCGCTCCGATCCTCCAGCGCTGACTGGCGGAACGGACGGGGGAGGGGGCAGGTATAGCTGGCTCTGCCTCTAGATAGGCAGAGCCAGCTGTCAATCACGCAGCTGGGTGGATCTCGGCAGTAATGTCGGGATGCGTCCTGGCTGCTGCGTTCTCAGTATACCGCGAGCTACTGAGCTTTGGGTGACGGGAGGACGCTAGTTTGTGTCCTCCCATGACCCTTAGGAGAACTATGGGGAAAAACACTTATCCCATAGTTCTCCTATAAGCAGCAGACAACACTAGAAGCCATGATGGAGTGTTTAAGGCCAGCTAAAGCAGATAACATTTTTCAGATCTGCAGTGTTGCTGGTATGCTGAATTACATACTGGCTTCTTATATCTCTCAGGGTCTGCAATGAAGAGATTTCCCTACCAGAATTCCCAGCTTTGCCCATGCCATTACCCAGCCATTTGATTGGGTCACATTACCTTGAAGAACACTCCATAATGCAGAGTAAGGAATGATGGGGCAGACACACAAACTACTGCAAGGAGAACTTTCCACTGAATCTTTGAGAGAAATATAAGAGCAGTGACTGACTGAATCCAGCAATGCTCAACGAAAACCAAGGCATCAGTTCCACTTTGAGTTTTATTGTTTGTAAAGTGGGGAAGTGTAAGAGCCTCATTTAGGTTGGGGAAGTGTCAAAGCCTCATTTAGGTTTGTGTTGCTGCCTGTGTACCCATTGAGGAGATTTCCTATTACTTCCTGTTTAGATAGCAGTGGTCATCAGGGCAGGAAGTTAGGGGGAATCTCTTCAAAAGAGACACAGGCAGCAATAAAAACACTCTTCTATTTAGCAAAGTAGGGAAAGGTAAGAACAGAAAAAAAGAAAATAATCTCTCCAGACAATAAAAACCTGGGAAAGGTTCTAACCCTCCTGATGCCACCCAGAATGAATGAAATACAACTTTAGGATGGGGTATCTCATTTAAATTTTAGCATGTCCTCTGTGTTTTGGCTTTGAGGAAAACTGTAACAGCTCCATTTCAAATAACAGAAAAGATAGGAATGATTATAGGAAGACATGCAGTATAGGTAACAACTACTCCTTTAAGTCAACCCCTATAAAGACTAAAGAGTTCTATACTATATATATACTGTACAGTATATATATATATATATAAATGTCCAGGGCGCAGGCACAATTCAAACATGGTGCTTATCAATGTACATGCATTATATGACTGTTTATTGTTCATAGAGTAATTCTGGGGTGAATTTTCTCTTTAAGGGCAACTGATGCCCTAAGCACAGCCCAACAGAGGTACCTTGTTTGGCCCCTCCATTGCTTAACTGACAAGACATTAAGGGGGTTATTCACTAAAGGGTGAAGAGTTTGGAGAAGGCAGGAGAAGTGAACAATCTTGGACAACAGAACTGGAAAATGAGCTGAACCGGAGAATGTTTCCAAATCAGCTTTGTTGTCCTAGATTGTTCACTTATCCTGCCCTCCATAAACTCTTCACCCTTCTGTGAATAACCCCCTAAGACTGTGCTGAAAGTGAAATAAGAGTTTTAAAATATATAAATCTTATTCAGTTTCCTTCTAAAACAGTCCCAGGCCGGAACCCACACTTACATGAAATAAAAATGTTTACATTTTATTTATTTAAAATATTGGGTATGGGTCAGAATCAAGCATCTAACTAAGGTCTGATCAAGGGAAATCTTTTAAAATAATAATTACCATAGGAATTCAGAACTCTATAGGGCCTGTAGACAAAGTCAGACAAGCCCCCTGGAGGCCGCGGCAATCAGACCTCAGTAAGAATACATCTGTGAAGGGGGAGGGATTGGCTGCCTCAGTGTAAAGCGGCAAAAAGGATATGTGCACTTTGTTTTAAAGTGCACTTATCCTATAAGGGCATGATAGTTAAGGGAAAAACTCTGTGGTACTCCTTTTCCTTGATGCCCTAAGCACATGCTTTTTTTGTATACATGCTCTTTTATATATATTTTTTATGCACTTTAATGGTGGCAGCCTTTCTCTTACATTTATTAATATGTTACTTACTCAAACCTGTGTAAATAAATGTAAAAATCCATAGATACACATAAAAATCCATAGATACATATACCACGCTGATAAAAACCAGGGCAGGGTTGAAATTTGTTGGACAAAAAGAATGTTTCACAATTTTGGGTATTATTGCACATTACCAGTTGTTATTCTGCTTTACATTATGTTTTATAGTATTGGACTCACCTAAAGTTTGCAGTACCAGTTTAGTGGACCAACTTAAGCCTTTTTCATAGACTCAGTTCACTCTTAGCCAGATATGATTTAGTAAAACATTTATCACCAAGAAACTAGGACAATTCCAGGGCAGAATGATTGCTCCATATTTAACAGAATGTTTTCTTCCAATAAATATAGAGCAATCACTTTGCCCCTGGTTTGCCCCAGTTCTGTCTTAAAGATTATGGTTTAGTCAAGTCAGGTGTGATAGAACACTTTAAGAACAATAAATCCTTTAATGTTTTTTGTCATCGATGAAAAATTCTATTGGTGCAGTAAAATATTGTATTCAGTTTTTATGTCTAGTGTAAAGGCAAATGTTTGTTCCTACAGCATTGTTATGCCACCCTGTCTTCAAAATCTTCTTCATATGTTTAGGGCTAAGATCTGTCAGAACCTTTGAGATTTTCATCATGTGTATATTGCATAAAGACATCGTTCTTAACTTATGTACTTATTTTGTATAATTTTCTAGGTAAATTGATCCAACAAACCTTAAACTTTTTTGAAATGAGATTACTAAAAAAAAAGGGCAAGCAACAATAAATAAGGACTGGCCAGGAAAAAAGGGGAACCAACTGAAAAAACGAAAATATCTACAAACATGCAAGTACCCTTGAACTTGAGTTATGTACACAAATCATATGATCGGACCATAAGAAAGACAAATAGGAATGTTGTCTTACCTTCACTGCAGTCTTTTCCTTGAAACCCGGTCTGGGAACAGTCGCACATGGCTTCTTCATTGACAACTGAACAAATTCCGCCATTCAGACAAACCTGATCTTTGTCACATGGGTTTGTAGTGTCCTCCAACTTAATGTCACTGTAGGTTACAGGAGAGGAGTCTGTGAAATTGACCCGGACATCAGTTATCCAACCTTGAAAAGGGCTGTGGTCTTTTACTGCTGGGAACGTTAATTTGAGCGTTGAGGATTTTAGTTCAGGTGGGATCCCACCTATAAAAAGATTACTGAAGACCGTCATATCTCTCCGTTTCGATTTCACTTCCACCCACTTGCTTTCCTTGTCTAAGATTAACGTTGTGTTCTTAAAATTTCTCTTGATGACCACTGAGTGCCAGTTGTTGTCATTAACTGCAAGATCTGTTAGGAGAGAAGCTGGTTCGGCACAGAAGATAGAAAAGCTTAACTTCAATTTTCCCTCATAGAGAATGAGCTCCAGGAAGTCGCAGAAACCCTCATCATCAAAGTATATAACGAGTCCACTCGATCGCTTGGTCTTCATGTTAAAACTCATCTCACTCTCACAACATGCATTCCACTTAGGGAAGCGAGTCCACTGGCCTTCTGTCCCAGGGAATTCTAGGCCACAGCCCAGGTCCACCATGCATCCAAGAATTAACATCATCCAGATAATGAGTCCCCCTTGCTTAAGGACACTAGCCATTTTGAATGACTTAATGTCTTGAGGGTCCTTTAAATTGCGTGGATCTTCCAGATTGACTTCTTAGTGGGGCTCCAATCCAACAGTAATATTGTGTCTTACTCTCGTGGCCCACCAGTGCTCAGTGGACAGCCAAGTAGGCCAAATTCACACTTAATTGTTAAAGATTTTTTGTAAAAATATGGATCTCTAATGTTCCATTGTACCATGCATGGTGGCCACCAAACTCTTCAGTAGTATTTCAGCGAAGCCCAACTCTTTTTAGCATCCAAATCTGGATAATCTTTTGGGAGATTATCCAAAGCTAAGCATACACCGTTCTCTTCACTTCTCACCTAAATCCCACAGTAAGAGTAGATCATGGACGGGTTTGCCATGGCACTACAAAAGAGGGCATGAATCATCACTCATGGTTCTCCTAGATCTTTCTCTCCCGCTCAAGCAGAAATGATGCACTGTTAGACCGAAGCAAGCCTTCGACATGGAAAATCTTAACAACTCTTCTTTTTTCCTTTCCACAACAATAATGAGATCCCATTCAGATGACGTCTAATACAACCCATCAATCTGAAAGCAATTTAAATATCAGTAAGTACATCATCTACAATTTCTATAGGCTAGCATGATTCAATCAAATACAAATGTGACTAGAGAGCTCAGCAGAGGACAATTAATTTATTTTTTTATTATTATTATTTTTAATTGAGGTTCATAGCAAAAAAAGGGACATTAATAAACAGCCAAATAATGCACAGTAGCACAACAAAGCATTATTATCCTGGGCACATTAAAGCTATTATCAAGCCATTTTTCTTCTGGACCTTATCAATTTTATCTACATCTTATACACAACGAAGAAATCCATACAAAGCTATCAGTCACTTCCAATGTGTTTGGATACATGATGAGGGAGCGCACTAACCCAGCAGGTTGCTAGCGAGCTGAGCTGCAAGCGCGCCTTAACATTTAATTTTCACAAGGTGAGGTAGAATGTGAATGAATACTGAAGAGATGTAATCACCATATCAGGTATTATTTCCTTGGCTACCTCGCCTCTTTTCCCCACTCAGCAATGCCATGATCGCTCCTACAGCAAATAAAAATCCAATTTGGCTCATGCGCTCTTAGCGTCTCCCAAGCTATTTAACCTTTTCACTGCTGCCAAGGCCTCATTTCATCAAGGGGTTAATCCCCTCCACCACCAACACCACCACACACACACACACATGCCATCCACTTCCTCATTAAGAGACCCAGGCGCAATTTAGTCAGCATAAACCCTTCCTAAGCATTAATACAGCTGTTACATCTCTCACATGTGAGCTAGAGGATTTAGACAGAAATCCCCATGTTAATAAGAGCCAGCCATCAATATCGCATCTGTCACTTTGCCTGCTTTTAAAATCACATTTTCCTCCATGCCAGGAAAGGGTTAAAAACAGCCCCTACACGCAGATCGGAGCAGGAGACAATAGCAACGTGCTGCAGAAGGTGATCATCTCCATATAATTCTGCCATTGCAAGCCCTTGGATGCATCTTTTCCTCCTAATTTATTGCCTAGACACGACAGCTCGATGCCTAATTAACACTTTTTTTTTTTTTTTTACAAGCAGAAACTAGCTTTAATTTATGGCACCGCATTGTGCTCCTGCTTTCATGGATGATCTCTCATTACAAGTGACCAGGGCAAGGTGATCCCTTAACCAACACTTTCAGAGAATGCCAATGGGCAAAGTTCCTGCATGAGGCACTCAGGCGGCACCACCACCAGTCTCACTGCTCATAATACAGACAAGGAAGCCCGGATACTAGTGATTCTGCCTGCAAGCAAAGAACCCTCTATAGTGTAGTAAAAACATAGCAACAGTACTCAAACCTTAAACATTGTTATTTATAACTTAGATAGGAGACACCATGTCCCTTTGACAACAAGAAATGCCATGTCGGGAAAGTGTTAAATCACAGTTCAATCAGCATGCACTTTAAATAGAGCAAGATAAACATTTCCCTCTTGAGACACGCAATTGTAAATTGTAAAAAAAAAAGATGTGTATTTAAATAAGTGTGCCTGTGTATACATTTCACAGTGGGAAGCTCTTGGCTTGTGTATCCCTACTCTTGTTACCAAGCACGATACCCTCAATGCTTTATCAATACCATAAACTAAAGTCTTATCATTTGACAAACGTGTCTGAGCTCGGACCGCTACCGTAAAAAGACAGCCAGAAAATAAAATACATATATTTTAACTGGACTTGTCATTTCTACACCTAACCCCCCCCTTTTACAATCCTTAGGGGGAATCCTTATTGTACGGACACCTCTGTTAGAAAAGACCCCGAGAAAACACAAACTAAAAGGGATGGAAATGGCATGAAGTCCTGCAGGGCTCTTTGCAAAAAAAGAGCCTTAGAAAGACACCATAAATCTTTCCTCTTATTTCATCATCACATTTCTTGATCCCAATCCATCCCTGCTGAAAAGATCGATTGGGTACCTACAGCACCGTGTCTGCAGTTCTAGAAAAAAAAAAGGAATAAGGAAAAGGAGGAGGAGGAGGATGGGGGTTACTTCTCCTGCCACAATCAGGGAAATATAAGATAATGAAGCTGAGAAATAGCACTAGGGGTGCATCACATCTCATATTCGCCTAATCCACCCACCCCTCCCATTTTTTTTTTTCTTCATTATTCCGTCGCATAGACATTACCCAGGACCACATAGCCCCGAATAACGGAGACTATGGGCTGTAAATAAAGAATCGCCGCAGCCAAGTTGCTAGCAGCGCTCCATGATCTGTACCTGTTCAATATGCTGCGCGCACCCAGCCCTGTGCATCACCCACAGACACCCGGACGGCTTCCATGGACCGGAGGAGAGCCAGAAAATGGAACATTACCTGCGTCTGGTGTACGGTGCTGGTAGAAGGATTGAAGGAGGTTGTCAGTCAAGGGAGGAGAAGGGAGAGAGAGAAGGGGGGGGGAGAAACAATTGCCCAGGTCTTAGAATAAAACAAGCGCTCTGCCTTTTCAGCAGCTCCAGGCTTGTGCTCCTATCTCCAGGAGTGAAGGAGGGGATGGAGAAGAGGAGGGACTCACATGACGCCTGCCACTGTCCGTCTGCAGACTGAAGGCGGGGTTTTGCCGTGCCTGGGCTCTGCTGCAGCACCATGGACAGCGCCGTCTCTGCCTTTCATACTCCGCTCCAGCCACGCAGCGCTATTAGCCCGATCGATAGACACATACGTGCAGCGATTTTTGGGGATATTATTTTGTGCCCCCCTCCGATGTGCGAGGAGGGTTCTCGGCATGCCTTGTGTGCAAGGAGGATCGCTCCACCCTGCCGGCCGCTGGGTGGTGCAGCCTTGTGCTTTGCCAGTTCACTTTGTCACTTTACATGGAACCAAATTTACAGGTATTTATATAGCGCCAGCAATTTTACATCACATCAGTCTCTGACCATTCACATCAGTCTCTGACCAGATTTGTCCCCAGGCTGGGTGTCACCCGGAGCGGTCACCCGCCGGGGTTACGCCACGTGTGATAACATGCATGCGCGAAGCCATCACAAACATATGTAATGATGTCATATCCGGCAGGATAAGGGATGCCGCTGAGTCCCCTCCTCTCTCATACAGCTGCCAGGCACATGGTCCATGACCAAATACCCAACTTTTCAGAGGTGACACCAAAATGGTTATGAGTCATTTTTAGACATGTGCATTCGGACGAACCTGCAAATCAACAAAATTCAGTTGATTTGGCGCGTTGTCCGAAAATGAAATCATGAATTTATTATACGCCCATATATGCGAAAATTATATTTGGGCATACATAAATATGTCTACAGAACGCGCGGGGGCCATATTGGCCAGCGTATTCTGCGCATGCCCGCTGCCATCTTAGAGGTGGAGTGTATGATGTCACATGATGGTGACATCATACGCTGAACGAGCGGCGGCCATATCAGCCGCCATTTCAAAGTATATTTTAGTATGCACCAAGATCGCGGCACCCGAACATGCGGGCGCCGCCATCTTGGTGTATACCAAGATACACTGCAAAATGGCGGCGCGCATGCGCAGAAAGCGCCGGCGGCCAATATGGCCGCCGCTCGTTCTGCTGTTTATTGTTCGGAGGCTCGTTGCCTCTGAATCTGAAAAAGCATTAAAACATTTTTCCTTTCACAAAACGAATGAAAATGTTTTGACTGTAGACAATCACAGCCCACTGCAGGGAGAGGATCAGAAAGTGAGCGGATCAGTGCATGTTTCTGCTCACTTTCCGATCAATAGAGCCGACCTGTGACAGCTTCTTTGTCACAGCTCGACTCTAACTATGAAGAGTGGAAATCACTCACCTCACAGTTCTCCTTTAACTATTATCAAAAATGTATCTTATTTGTGTATCACTCGACTGCAGATCCTCAAATCATCTCTGACGTGGTGTTGACAGTGTCCTTCCTTCTGGAGGGGGGCTACTTTTGTTCCCCATGGTCCCTTTGTGTGTTGTAAAGTAGTCACCGCTCCAAGCTCACTCCTGTGATGGACTACAATCTCAATACAAATTAGTCAACTAAACATGAGATTGTAGACCATCACGGAAATGAGCTTGGAGTGGTGACTACTTTACAACACACACAGGGACCATGGGGAACAAAAGAAGCCACTATTGGTGGGCCATTTTTTGGCACAAGAAAAGGTGTGGAATGTTTGAAAGGAGCTCTGGTAACCCTCAACATTCATTAAAAGGGGAACTGGACTCACCCATTTAAAGTAGAACTACACCCTCCAATCCCTTACAACCAATCAGGGCTGTTTTTAATATTGATTGGACCCTGGGCAAATATATTCTTGGACCCTGCCACCCCAACCCTACCTGTCACGCCACCGCAATATTGCACCACATCCTCTTACTGCAGAGCAGAAAGGAGAGGTCAGAGGGAGACGTGACCCCACATGAGACGTCACGCAATCACACTACATGGTGTACGGCAGTGGTGGAGCAACTCTATATGACACCAATCGCATAGTAAACAGAACAGTGCTGTGTGTGTGTCTTTTGCGGGCTCAAGGAGCAGTGACTGGGCCCAGGGCAACTGCTCCTTTTGCCTTGCATTAAAGACGGCCCTGCAGCCAAGGAAGGTGCCATCTTGGCCTCTATTGAATTGCAGTTGCCATGGTGCATGTGATTAGCTATAACACCAGCCATGTTAAGGCTTGAAAAATTCGGTTGAGAGCTGAAATAAGCACACTAGCAACCTTGACAGCTGACATGCCTTACAAGTGACTGTTTTGGGAGACATTAAAGAGGAAGAAAATGTACCCACCAATTAAATGTCTCTCTAAACAGTTATTTTTAAGGCATGCCAACTGTCAAGGTTGTCAGTGTGTTTATTTCAGCTCTCAAACAAACTTTCAAGCCCTCAAATGGTTGCTGATCACATGTGCAGCACCATGGCAACTGCAATCCAAACAGGCTGTTAAGCTGGGTTCACACCTAGGCGACAGTGTTTTTGATGCATGTTTTTGTGCATTTTTAAGCGCATAAATCAAATCGCATGTTTTTGTGAGCAGATTGTTGTTAATGAGCAAATTAGCTCATTGATGTTAATGAGCAAAGGCATCTAAAACGCACGTAAAAACACAGCAAATTGTTTTTTTACAAGTTAAGTATTAAGCATATGTGGCCAAAATGAGCTGTAATATGCCAAAAAAAACCTCCTGTACTTTTTCCAGCGACAGGCACGGTTATTGCGACAAAATGCTCAGCTCTAAACAGAGCCATAGAAATGAATGGGATTTTTCTTTTTCAGCGGTACTGCAACCTCCTATCCCTTTGTCTTTTAAGCATTTTGTAGGGCAGAAAAAGGGTATAGGAAGTTGTAGTACCGCTGAAGTCAAAAAGTAAAGATTTGCTATGTCATAAAAGGACATTAAAATGTGCATTGAGTGGGATTTATCTAAAACGGAGCAGACAGAATATGAAACGGTTGCCCATGGCAACCAGTCAGCTTCTATCTTATATTTTAAAAGCTTAACTGAACAAGCTGAGGAGAGTAACTGATTGGTTACTATGGGCAACTGCTATAGATTCTGTCTGCTCCAGATTTAATCAATTCCTATTTGTGTTGAAGAAGTACCCTGAAAAATATACCTTTTTTTTATGGAAGTCCTCCTTCCTGGTACGTGGGGTTGCCTAGGCCCTCCTGTGCTTACAGCCTCATAGCTTTATAAGGATGCAGAAATAAAAAGCTAGTCTTGTCCCACCTCTTTTTGTGTTCCCGTCGGAGATTTACCATCACTTCCTGTTATCAGCAGAAGGGTAACTCTCTCTAATGGAACCCCAAACCCTGACAGAGGTTCTAACATGTCCCCACTCTATTCACAAGTAAGAGAAAAATAGCTGGACAAACTCTAAAGCCACAGTAAGTGCAAAAAAAATGTTCTTGTTTTAGGCTAGGTAGTCAAAGAGTTTAGAAATATTTATAGCAAATATAAGAAAGAAGTTTAAAGTGGACTTAGCATCAGATGTTCATGTTAGGTGTGTGCATGGTAAATAACGTGTAAACACTTCCAGGTATTTATAGTATTACCTCTCACGGATATCACAGTACTCCCCCTGACAATGCCTTCATCTTTTCTCTGCAGAACGACAGCACCATGTTTGTTCAAGCAGGGTCAGTATCTACATCCTGAACAGAGATCCCGACTCTGAGATGACAGTCATGTAAATCCTAGTCCATGTGCAGGTTTGGACAATGTTTACAGAGTCTGACACAGATCAGCCACTTCTACAACTTATCACCTAGAGACTTGCTGATGCAGTCTGATCACTGGAAAAGGGGAGTTTCATTCCTTCTTCAAGTGAATGGCACCGCAGCCACGCCCTGCAAGCACTATTTTGATCGCACCGGACCGGACTGCAGGCACAATGTGCCTTGCGATCCTTTGGGGCGATTGCATTGCAGCCGGAGGGCGTGGCTACGGTGCCGTTCACTTCAATGGCCCATCACGCCCCCTCCAGCAAGGCAAGAACGCACTGCATATGGTGTGAACGAGACCTTAAAGCACTGGATTGACAAGACAACAAGGGAGTTATGACTTTTAGAAGATGAGGCCAGGAATTGCAGTCTCCATACATAAAGAATATAAGTATCTTTTTAAAGGAACAGTTAGCGGCTACTTAAAAGGTGCTCCTGTATCTCAGAGTCGGGTCTCAGGAACCAACATCTACTGCAACTGGGCAGGTTCGGTGATGTGAGAAATAAACAACTCCCTGGATTAAATATGCTTTAGGCCCTTCTAATTTGCTGGCCAAAAGCAGAAGACTGCTGAGTAAGAAGGGTTCAGGAATACACTTTTTGCTTCCTGCAGGTGCATAGCCAGAAGGGGTACGTGAGCATCAGCAATTCTAGCAGTGGCTGGATTACACAGCTATTTTTATAGAGTCTATTTAAAGCTCCCCTGTTGTTTTCTCAAATAAAACTGACAGCTCCCTGAAACAGAAGAAGATCAATAATGACCTTTTCTCCGGGTTGCGTGTTGAAACTTTCATCTCTTACAGGGCTTCAGGCTCCGCTGTTATAAAAAATAACTACAGGTGTGTCACACAACGTGTCTCCTGACCGCTGCTGTGGTACCTCCCACCAACACAGTGTGCACTTGTATTCCCCCATGTAGTAACTGACAATTACTGGAGGACAAAAAAAACTTTTTTCTGGCAATATTAATTTATTTTCTTTATATTCCGAAAACAATAATGAATAAAGTAGTACACTTCTTTTCCAGTATGACCATTTTTATTTTCATTCATCTTTTGTCCTATTTATAACAGAAACATTATGTTTCTAACATAAAGTATGGCAATTTTATTTATACATTATTTTCTTTTGTGTATTTTGTAATGTGGTGCTACAAAAAAAAAAAGAAAATGATACATAT